GCGGTTTTGGTTTGGGGGTTTATAGGTCCTTTTTGAACCACTTTTCCCATCAGCCGAGATCCAGTCCCACAGACAGAGGGTTTATGGGGTTTAGGGTTGAGGGTTTAGGGTTGAGGGTTTAGGGTTGAGGGGTTTGGGTTTAGGGTGGAGGGGTTGAGGAGTTTCGGGTTTAGGGTTGAGGGGTTGCAGGGTTTGGGTTTAGGGTTGAGGGTTGAGGGCTTAGGGCTTAGGGTTTAAGGGGTTCAGGGTTGAGGGGTTCAGGGTTTGGGGCTTTGCAGGTTTAGAGTTTAGGATCCAGGCTTCAGGCTGAGATAAATTCTAGACTGCGTTGGCCTAGTTTGGGTTACTAGTGCTCTACGTCTTGCTACCGCCTGTTTCCCTTTTGTTTGGGGGCGAGTATTTGGAGCGTGGGATTTTTGAGGTCAGATCTAGTGTCAGTCAACAAAGGCTCTAGCACTGCAGAGGCCCCGGTGATTTCGTATGGGAGTTGCCAGAAAATACCGGACCATGATGTAAGTATACACTACCTTTTTTGGATCCTTGCTATAAGGATCCTCGAAAAACACTATGATTTTAAGAAACGCCCGTGCGCAGGGCTTGCGAGTGACTCTCTTTGCTTACTCAAGCTCCATCAGTGCTTGTCACGCGCCCAAACGTTTCCAACCGAAGGATGACTCCGCGCAGGCTTTTTGGTTCGTCAAAAACAGTCCTACAATTAAGGTCTAGAAGGCCCAACAAGGGGTGAGTTTTGGGATTGCTCAAGAAACCTGCGGCTTATTACGGGGCGACTATGCGATACAAAGGTGGCTCGTCGAGCCATAACTTCAGAATGACTGTCTCCATGCGAGCTCCGAAACCCAAAAGTCCAACCAAACCCTTTTCTCGCGACCTCGGAACCCCCCGCCCCAAGAGCTGTAAATGCTCCTTCACCCACAAAGCTCTACATAGCCAGCAATAAAAAGGCTCCGAGGTCCAACTGCGACGGAAACCCCGAAGCTCGTTGCCCTTTAACATAGTGGGCCCCCAAACCCTATTCCAATTATTAATGCCCCTATACACACTAAACCCTTATAGTAGAGTAGTCCCTAAGTATCCCTTAAAGAAGCCCTTAAAAGGAACCCCAAAACCCTAATCTGATCATTAAGGCCCCTGCATTAGACTGTGAAGCCCCTGCCCGAAGATGCGGTCGTAGAATATAGGGGCCTGCATAATTAGAATAGGGTTTTGGGGTATGTTATGCTATAAATATAAGAAGGAACCCCCCAAAAATAGTAGTGATACTTATTAAAGGCCCCTATAATAATCCTTATAGCATTCTGTATAGGGGCCTGAAGAATAAGAATAGGGTTTTGAATAGTAGTGATAATTATGAACGGCCCCTATATTAATCCATATAGCACTCTGCGACCCGGGAGCCCCCAGACCCTAAATGCCAAACCCAACACGCAACACCCTACAACCTTGACCTAAAGCCCCAAAACCCTCAGCCCTAAACCCCAAACGCCAAACCCTAAACCCAAACTCTAAACCCTAAACCCCAAACTCTAAACCCTACACCCCAAACTCTAAACCCTAAACGGGCTACGAAGCCCTCAAACCTGAGGCGAGCATCCGATCTGCATCTGGGCCCGGTAGTAGCAGCCGTTTCGCTGCAGATTCTGGACCAGGCCCAGAGGGCGAGAAAGCCTCCATGGGCTGGTTTAGGTTTTAGGTTTTAGGGTTTAGGGCTTAGGGTTTAGGGGCAGATGGATTGTCAAGAGCCGTCACGGGTTTTGGCAGCTTGTCTTGTAGCGTTTAATAGGGTTTAGATCTGGTTTAGAAGGGTTTCCGAAAGTCTCTTGCGGGATACGATCTGTAAGGGTTTTAAAGTAATAAAGGCTGCTATAGTAACAGGATTCATATGACATGTTGACGATCGGGTTTGGATTCATAGGGGTTTGGGGTGTAGGGGTGGAGTGCTTTAGGGCTGTAGGGGCATTCTGAGGTTTGGTTTTTAAACTGCAAATTTAGGATTTGGAGGATTGCCTTGTGTTTTAGATAGCCTTAGGGTTTGGGTTTAGGGTTTGGGGTTTAGGGTTTAGGGTGTGGCAGGCGAAGTCGCGCGCTCGGG